TTTTTTTTTTTTTTTTGAGGCATCTGCCGGTGCCACTGTCAGAGAGAGAATTCTAGATTAGATGGATAACTGATTGATCAGGCATATCAACACCTATTTTCTCATGCATGTACAGCACCTTCAGCTGTAAGGAAAACCAACATGAGGTAGTAAGTATAGGTTTAATGTCTAAAGCACCTAAATTACTGAATAGGTCACAAATATACCAGTACTTTAAGCTTGGTCTCTTTAAAACATAGGGCTAGAGCTTCAGTTCCACCAAAATTAGTGGAGTTGTGCCTCTTGCACCAGTAAAGGATCTAAATCATAGATCAAATTCCTTTTAATGTATTTGCCATTGGCTTCTATCAATAATGTCTCCCTATCTCCTCCACTGGATTTTAAAACTACATCCAAGTAGCATAGAAACACTGCTATAGGAGGTAATACTTTGTCCCATTATCCCAAAATGCTGTTACACTTTTAATGAGGACAGTTAGGACCTTTCCCTATTCTTCTTCCTCATTCATAGTAAAGTAATGTTTGTATAAACCTCTAAGTCTGTTTCTGCTTTAAATAAGTACTACAAAACTGTATGTACTGTAATGAGCAGTAATCAGTAAATTGGAGTATTTCTGGATAATTAATGGAGTACCTATAAAAAAACTGAAAAGGGTTAGAACATCAAAACAGTGTCCAATATGCTGTGCCATACTGTCAAAAAGGATTTAGCCTGTTTCTCCTTTTCCACTGTGAAAAAGAAGTTTGTGTCATTACTAGTTTAAAGGCCAATAATAATAAGCCAGATTCAGTTTCCCAATTTTGGCTGTTTCTGTCTGGTGTCTTAACTTGTACCCATCACTAATTATGAGAGAAGGACAATAGTTCAAGTAGCCAGCTGCCATTGGCTTGCTCATGCTGGAAGAGCACAAGCAGACATGGGAAAGGTCTCTGAGGGCATGTCTACATGAGACGTTTACTGTGTAGCTGCCTAATTAGCTCCACAGTAAATGTCTCAGCATCTACACGTGCAGTCCTATTAGGCCACAGTAAACTATAAACTCCACTGCAGGTTAGTACATGTAAATACAAATACTATCCTGTGGCAGAGTTCTTTACTTCACAGCAGCATACATGTAGACACTGACACAGCTAGCTGGGGCACGAGGGTGGTGCTTCAGATCCAGGACTGCCTGCTGGCTAGCTCCGCACTGGAGCACTCTTGTGCCCCAACCAGCCCCTCCACAGCATGTTGAGCTGGGTTAGAGCAGCTCCAGGCTGGCAAGCTGACTCTCCAGGTCCCCTGCTAGCCAGGGCTGCTCCAATCCAGCTCAGTGTGCTGCAGTTCTGGGCGCACATTCAAACGCGGTGCCTGGGAGCAATAAACTCTGGAGCGATATGTGCTGGAGTTTATTGCTGTGCATTAATAGACTGTATAGATGTGCCCTGAGCGTCTCTGCTTCTTTCACAGGCCTTCATACTCAAAAGCTTGTCTGTATCCCTCCCAACTCAGCAGTTGATCCAATCAAAGATATCACCCACAAAAATCCTTGTCTCTTGCATTTTTCCTGGACCACCATGCCTACAACATCTTCCCAACTCTACCACAAGTAACAGAGAAAACATTTATTTTAGAGAACATCTCCTTACAGCTGATCACCTGATCTTGTCTGGTAAGCCTTCTGTTGTCATCAGTTAATGAAACAGCACAAGAATGAGCCAGCATGTTAACATGACACATTAAACAAGGCTGAGCCTCCCCTTCCAGCAGCAAGTCACTAAACTGCTGCTTACTGTTCCCAGGAGCATGTGCAATGCTGCTGACCCTATCTGTGACGCTGTTGGAAACATAAAGACATAAACAAAGGGGAGCCATGCTTGGCTTTTCCTGCAGTAGAAAGACAGTAAAGTGCAATGCCATCTGGAGAGGAAGGCTGAGCTGGAATGTTTCCCCCCTCATTTTTAAAGAGTATTTTAAGAGTATAAATAAAGAGTATATGAACTCTCAATACTGATGAACTCAATATCTGAATTTCAGCCACTCCAAAGTAAAGGATGCCCATTGGTTCATCAGGGCCATAGTAAAATGAATCTTTTGAACACATGTATTTTTAGGGGTATTCATTGAGAGCTGATGTTTTGGTCTGGTTTGGGACCACCTTTGTTACTGGGTTGTCCATCGCCCTTTAAACCAGGCATTGGAACACAGTTTTTAAGAATTTCAGTAAGGTTTTAGTTTAACGGAAGGAAAAGAGCTATGATGGGAGGGCATAGGACAGCACTCCTCAACAAAATTTGAATGGAGTTGGCCTTTGGAAATTCCTGACTGACTGTTGTCTTTCTATAAGAACAGAGGAGCAAGAGAAATGAAAGAGTGAGGAAAGAACTTACCCATTTGTTGGGTTTCTGGGGAAAGCTATGAAAGATAGGGTATGTCTGGGGATAGGTTATCTTCGATTTGACACTCATCCAGTTTGAAGAAAACCAAAATCCTGATTTTCATTACTACGGACACACAGCCATTCCCCCCTGTTAGCTAGCAATTTAGAATTATTAAGTAAAAGAGGCAGAATTAAAATCCCTTCCATATAGACAAAAAAAATCCTCCCAGTATGATATTTGCTGGGAATGTACAGGTGAGATAGAAGCTAACACTGTTATATTAGTACCAGACAAAGAAAAATTCTCACAAGATGTGGAAAGGTGAATAACCTGAAATGGACTTTGTCAGCGTTCTCAGTCACTTAGACTGTGGAGAAGCATCTGAACTACAGTCCTCTGGAAAAGATGGAGTTCAGCTCTTGATTCACTGGAGATGTAAAGCCTAAAATCCGTTTCAGTGAACCAAGACAAGAGTGGGTCTGGACTGAGTGAAAGACTGTAAGGATGTCAAGATGTGAAAAAGGCTACAATCAGAAAGGTATGAAATACTGCTTAATGCTGAGTTTATAAGACCTGTGGGAGGCTGTATGGAGATGAAAAAAGTAGTTTTTGTGTTCCAAAATAGCAATAAGGGTGAATATTTTAAATGCACCAGTGAATAATATAACAATACTTCTACCCAAGGAGCTGAAAACACATTAAAACATTAATGAGTTTGAGACCTGATTTTCTAAGGTTCAATTCTGTAAAATTAAGGCATAAGCCCTGCAGAAAACCCCTTCTGCTGCCATGATACTAAGTGTTATTGTCTCCATTTTACAGCTAATTCAAGTGAGGCACAGTAAACTCCCATGACTTGCAAAGACCAAATAGCAATTCACCAAGAGAGGTGGGGATATAGCACAATTCCTTTACCACTCAGTCCTGTGCATAGCCTCCGTCTCCCAACACTCACCTCTCCATATTCTCCCACCACATGGTTCACCTAATGTAAGTGAGCACACATTCCTCTTAGGACACCGGCTGATTGTTTTCAATCATCCCCTTTCAGTTTTTCTATTAATTAACTACCAGGGAGAGATCCTGCTCACTCTTGCTTATGGTAAGTAGCACCCTACTATCTGAGCAGACCTATTGACATTAATGGGCCTGTGCTTGTGGTGACTGGTTAGCAGTGAAAATGAGGTTTTCACCATCTGTCCCTAAATGAAAGTCCTTGTGCTAACCGAAATGTTGCTGAGGGACAATGTGCTGTTATGATAATCCTGACAGGGACATATTTGGGGGCTGATGCTGCTGATGGGACAGTTCCCTGGGGACCAGGAAGATCTGCTTCTCTAAAGGACATAAACTCCCATCCACTCCAACAAAATTGAGTTTATCTTATGTAAACCAGACTAGGGTTGGTGCATGCCCTCAACAGCCACTTAACTAGCTGCCTGGGCTGGAGGTCATTATTAGTAATTATATCATCACTGAAGATGGATTTGGCTGCCTGCCAGTCCCAGCTCCTGTCCTTCTCTGACCAGAATGAGGAAACATAGCCAATCAACAAAAGCTATTTATTTCCTTTGCAGGGAAGGACATTGACTGATCAGCATGAAACTCCTGGAATGTCACCTGAATCTCATCACTGTGTCCAGTGTCACTGACTTGAGTTGCTCGATTTTCACGTGGTAAGAGGGGAAAGCATCATAGATAGCTAGAGGGTAGTTTTTCTCCATTTTCAAATGTGACTTAGTTTCACAATAGTAAACAGTAATACTTCACATCCATTTAGTATTTGTCATAGGTCTTAAAGCACTTTGCACAAATAGGTAAAAATTACTTTCTCTACCTTATACGTTGAGGAAACTGGGACACAAAGAGGTTGAGTGATTTGTTAAGATCAGACAAGTCGGAGCTGAAATTGACCCTGTGCTTCCTGACAACAGCAGGAAACAATAAAATATCTACCCCTTCTGGTTGTGAATAAACATCTGAAGTAATCTTTCAGTACAGATGACTTTCTTATTCTGCAATTAGAAAGAATCAATAGCACTACAAGGTGGAACTTCCCTTATTCAGTTCAGTTATTCATGAACTGAAGCCTAATGATGACAATTAAAATGTAAACATTACCATCTATTACATTGCACGTCATTTTAGCATAGGCATTGCAGTTGGGGGCTGTGGGCAGAGATTGCATAGGGTACATTACATTTCTTGTCATTGTTAGGGACCCTGATTCTTGTAGAGGAGACAAAATCTCTACCTAGCATAACTTGTTGACTCCACAAACCAGTGGACGTAGAGTATGTACATGTGGGTATATGGAGGCATGAGTATGAGAACACCCCCATAACGAAGTGAAATAAAATTGGCTCCCCCTGTCTTTTAGTATTGGGTTGTGAGAACTTCTGTGATGTTAACTATGAAAACACTGGACACGGAAAAGATTTTCATGAAATTATGTTGCCTTCCCCATTCCTATTGCTTCGCCCTTGCTCACCACTTAGATCCCAAGTTTGACTCCTTGAGGGCTAGAGGATGCATACGTCATCTCACCAACAATTTGAATAAATAATCATAGGAGCTGAGGATGGGAAAGGTTTGTTTTTATATTTGTAATTTGGTAGCATTGGGGCAGCTCTGACTCACTGTTCTGAACACTGTACTGCTATATATCTCAACAGAGGCCCTTGAACCAAAGAGCTTACATCCCAAGCAGATGATCAGGCACAACAGGTGGATACAGCAAACAGACAGGGGGAGCACCAGATACCACTGAGTGCCTCTCCAAGCAGCCTTCCACCCTCTATAGGCCACTGAAACTGCTTTCTCCAGAATTTCCGGACAAATATACTACCCTCTTCAAATTATTAGCTTCCTTTGGTTCAGCTGATCATGATCTTCTTGCCATCTTGTCCTCCCTCATTTTTATTTAGTTTACACCCAAGCCAGATGCAAGATTCTTCCCACTAGTATGTACTCTGTCATTTGTCCAGACTAGTTTTTAATGTGTGAAAAAAACAGCTCCTTCCACTTCTCCCTTAAAAGACTATTTTCTAGACCTATAGATCTCAGTGCCTGCTGATTAGGCAAACAGACATGTTGCTCTAAGGGCATTTTTCTGTTATCCAATTCAACCCAAATTCATAAAATACTTTTGTCTTCCGACAACTGCAGATAAAATGATTCCCAGGGCCACGTGGGATATTTTTGTGCTCAAAGGATATGGACCCTGGAGCAGTGACAGGCTTAATTAATATTTCTTTCTACAGTCACCCTCTTCTTTCCTCCAATTTGACCGCTTTCAAAAAACAAGCAGTAGGTGTAGAGAACCCACAACAGCCTCACAATGATGTGCTGTACAGGAAATTCTTTTGTTGAGTCAGAGTTTAATAAACCCCTTTCAAACTGCAGAAAAGAAGACAAGGAATAGCAGTTTAAAAGCTACATGGAGTAATGTTTAGTTCATATGAATGCAGCTAAACAGTGGCTTTTTTTCCTAACTTAAGACCCATTCTTGAGCCATTCTCCAACACAGGTATGGAAGAGTGATACCCCAACCACATCAGCAATAAACCAGATGCTGGTAAGTGGGCATCCCTGGTCAGTTCAGATTACTGAGTAAGTACATGGCTATGCTTCAACATCTCTAAAAAGCAGTACACAATCTCAAATCGGGGACCCAACATTTGAGATACCCCAGACTAATAGACACTTTTTCAAAAGCTGGCATTGACCTCTGTGCCTCCATTTTCCATGAGAAACCACAGGAGCCATTTGTTATTTTGAGATAAAACTCACTCTCTAAAAAGCACTTGCAGATTTTCACATGTAAGGTGCTATGAAAGCACAAAGGCATTTTGCTGTAAAGAAGGTTAAATCATTGGCAAAAGGAAGAGCAACTAACCTTCAACAACCACGTAAAGTTGTTGGAAAGAATGCAAAGTACTCCTGTTCTTTGTGAAAGGGAGGGAAAAAATCAGCAGCTCATTTTTCTTCCTTAGAAACTATTAATTATTTTCAGGCCCTGCACCAAAGGGGAAGAGCTGGAAGTTAATGTCCCATGATCAGAGGGGAAAAAATGCTTAATGCACAGCATCAAGGCTATTGCCGAGCAGCCAGTGTGAAATCCAAACCCTGCTACTACCACATTATTTTACACCTCTTCCTGGCTTCAAATAGCAATAGAAATTTCCCTCCCAACCCAATGAAGTGTGGTTCTAGTCAGACACAGGAATGTGTACAAATGACATTATGGGATGCCATATTTATTTTCTCTGCTTCCAGATTAAAAGGGATTCATTAAAAGCCAAGTTATGGGTTTTGTTTTTCTTTTCTTTTTTCTTGTCATTGCTGTGAACTCAGGCTTGGATATCAAAAGTAAGCCACAGGCAATGGTGTTGATTCTTTGAGGCAGAATGGGATACAGCTCGTGTTTCTGTAGCTATATTAGAACTGAAAGGCTAACATGGAGAGAGAGGTATTGATGTTCGTTCCTAATAGTAAATTAAGCACATTGATGTGGCAATGCACAGTGTCGAAGAGAAAGGAACTGTTAGGTGCAGTCTTTTTTTCTGATCCTGTACTTGACTCATCGATGCTCTCATTCCAGATAGGATGCTACAAACCTGCAGCAACTGCCTACCCTCTGCATCTCTTCCTGGAATCAGATGATACATTGTGGAAAACAGAGCCAGACAGGATGAGGCCATGACCAAGCTGCCTGGGAGATGTGTTGAACTGATTGATAGTCCTCCCTAGAAGGATACTTGTGTTGGGAAGCTGAAGTACCAGGATGATAATTTTTGCAATTTGCAACATCCTGCACCCTTATTTCCTATAATTGCAGTCTGTGGGCTAAAAAAGAAATGGGGGGGAGGATTAAATTTGTGACCATTTAAGTAAATATGTTCTGAGTCTATTATGTATTGTGTAGACAAGGCTTGTATTTTCACAGAACCCATCAACCAGCTAATGTGTTTTCATAATAAGACCAGGAGGAACAACTGCCTCATTTGGTCTGACATCCTGCATAACACCAGTCATAGAATTTCACCCAGTTATTCTTATGTTTGACTCACTCGATTTGATTAAAGCTTGTCTTCCAGAGATGTATCTAGTCACAAGCTGAAGGCTTCAAGAGAGGCAGAAACCACCATTTCCATTAGCAATTTGTTCTTTCCAAAGGGACTCAATTAACAAAAAAATGTATTATACTCTACTCATATCAAATATTGTCAACAAACTCACATAACTGAATGTCCACAATGTCACATAAGAGAGTAACTGGAGAAACGTCTTTACTAGATAAGTCACTGTTGCAAAAAGTGTTTGACAATCTCAAAAATTCAGATTAGCAAAACTAGGTTATTTAATTCGGACTGGAATAGCTGTGAGGACAAGGCAACTTGAGATTATTTTCCTTAATAAGGCAGTTCAAGTCTACATCCTTGTGCTGCTATGCAAATTAAAATCCAAGTTGCCTAGTCTTCATTGAAGAACACACTTGTGTTTTTCCTGCAGTACAGATGTACCCCTATACTAGAAGTTTTCACTTTTAATACTTTCATTTAGGATTTTTACAGCCTTTAAGAGCTACAGTCCTGTGAAACAGGCAAACAAGTAGAGCGAGAATTTAATGGTGCCAGCTTGAATGACAGACATTTATTAAGGATGCAAAATGTTCCTCCTCGCCATGACAAGGAGAGGCATGAAGTCAGAGTCCCTGAAATGTTTTCCTCAAAGATCTTGATTATATGTTGTTTCATACGCTGCCTAATTAGGGCCTGTTTCTATAAAGAAGTTTGCACCAATGACAGTGCAGTAGGGAAGTGAATCCGAATGTTAGAACTTGA